GAGTATTTTTCTCCCCCCCCCCAAAAGAATTTTGCTATAATTCAGAGAATTGAGGTTCTTCCCTCGCTGTTTCCCTGCGCGGCGGCGACTTCTCCCTGGTCGGGGGTCGGGCGCAGGAAGTTGTGCGTGGCGGAGGCTGGCAGGGTCGGAAGAGTGGCCCCCCGGAATCGCGGGGGCGTCAGGGAAGCCCGGAGTTGACCCGGGCCTGAGGACTAACCCGGTTCCCGCCGCCGGCCACCGGGGGCCCCCAGGGCCTGGCCCTTCTGCCTGGCCGCGGCCTGGGACCAGCCGGAAAGCGGGAGACCTGGGTCGCCCCTCCGCAGCGGTCCAGGCTGGGCTGGACGCGGCTGAGAAGACATCAAGTGCCGCACGTGGAGTGGGGTGTTATTAATTTATTTCTATAAATCATCAACAGAAAGATACACAAAGAGCCGCGATTAGGTTGAAAAGAGAGGCGGGTTACTCATTGGTGAAGTCGTAAACGCGGCGTACAGCGGGAAGGAAATCGAAACGCCGGCGCGGGGCTGCGCCCTGCTCCCAGCGCGCACGCACCCGGCTGGGTTCCCGGACCCGCCGCCTGAGCGCCCAGGCCGCCCCCGAGGCCGGAACCCGCGGCCAGGCGCAGCCCGGGGTCCCCGGACCTCATACCTCTTCTCTTCCCCGAGCCCTTAGACTCGGCGAGGCCGAGAGGGGACCTCGGGAACCCGACGCGTTCGCTGGGGTGGGGGCGCGGACCAGAGCCGGGCTTTCCTCCTTACCGCAGCGGAGGCAGCCCTCGCTCCTCCGCCCCCAGAGGGTCGGACTTCATTAAAGGCATTTTTCAAGAAATTGCGCGTGTTTCCCGGTCATTGCACTGCTGGCTCTGGGCGCCGGGCACACGCACTCCTGCTCTTTTATGGCGGAACGAAAACAAAACAAAAGTCACTTTCTGGAGCTCCTGGAGGCCCCTTGTACTCTCGCAAAGGAGAGGCCAGGAAGGGAGGTTGGGGACCGCGCGTCCCGGCCCCGGCTACGGGCCTCGAGGCCAGCGCTTCGTGGGCAGTCGGCGGCTGGCTGAGAAGCGCGAGGCGAGGCGCCTGACGACGCGGGGTGCGGGGTGCAGGGCTTCTCTCCCCGCGCTCGGCAAAGTCGCAGTTGGAGAAGGAGCGCGGGGCTGGCCCACCCGGCGCTGCGAACCGCGGTGACACCTGCGCTCTCAACACAATGGCCGCGCGCGCTGCCCCGGGTCGGGGTCCTTGCTGGGGCTGGGAACCCCTGGACGTGAGCTGTATTTTCAGATTTAAAAATCCCGCAGCCTGTCCTCCCACTCTCCCCGGTAAACACACGCGGATTCCGGGGTCAGGGAGCTATAAAGGTATAACTACGCCATTTTACCCCCAACTCGACTCTCTTCATGCGGGTTTAAACGCTTTCTCACAGTTTATATGGTTTTCGTGGGCTTCTTATTTTTTTAACTTTCCCAATTGTTGAGATAATTCACTTTCTCCACAGAATCATTCGAACTTAGAAATCACAGTAGTTTGCTAGGTTTCTTAGGCACACACCATCAACACAGGTAAAGAAATGGAAACAAAAGAAAAATAGCCAAAGAATCTGTTAAAGCAGTGTTTCCTTTTAAACTCCAGACACTTTTTTCTAACTTTAGGAACAATCGTTTGTACCTGTTGAAAGTATTTTTCCACCCTAAAAATATCTGTGGAAATATTCTCCGGAATAAAGCTTTTACACATGGTCACTGATGTTTACACGCATAGGTCTAAACCGTTTATTACATTATTCTTCCTCACACCCAAGGTGGATCCTCCATGTTTGGAACGCTAACAAATTTTCCTTCTCTTTTTTTTATTCTTCCTGTTATTTCGTTATGTTGAATTACTTAGACATACCTTTATAGCTACTTGAGAGATCCATTCTTAACTTACATTAATTAATCTGAAAAGTTTGTATTTCTCAAATACATCTATTTTAAGACCTGTGTTCTCACGAATTTAATATCAATGGCTTGCTGAAATAATCGCAGATATTCAAGTGCTTACAATAGATCTCGATGTTTTTATTCATTACATAAAATTTGTTTGTCACAGAGGCACAATTTAGAAAATTAGTTATTAAATTACAGCATTAGATATATCTGTTTGATATATAAGTATTTTTATTGTTTCATTTGAACTAGTTTTTCCCTTCATTTTTTTCAAGTTCTATGAAGCTAAATATAGACATTAACCACTAATAGGATGTTGGCTTTTTTTTTTTCATGGTATGTTTTTGCACTACTTAAAGAGAAGATGTAAATGTATTGCTTCTTTAATATTTTTGTTCTGTAAAGCACATTATTTTCTTAATTTATTGTTTTAAATGACAGCTCTCATTCTAAGTCACCCATTCAATAAGCAAGAAAAGGTAGTGGGAAAATGGATAACATTTTAAATAAATAAAATTCAAAGGCACTACTACAAGTTTTTGGCATACCTGTGTTTATGAAAAATAAAAAGTCCAAGTATGTTCTTAGTCCTAGCTTAAAATTTACGGGCCACATTGCCTTCCAGATAGTTTTACCCTATCAGAGGAGCAGTGTAAGAATATAGGAAAATGAGGCGTTTGGAATTGTTATTATCTTACTCTGAAACTGAAGTTATTCCTTCCCATTAAGTTTTTTTAACCCTTTACTTCTTTTTTAAAAAAATTATTCATTTTATTTTAAATTTATTATTGTTATTCGATTTGATGAGAGAGAGAGAGAGAGAGAGAGAGAAAGCTGCCAAGGCCTGGACTCAAACCATGGTCAGTCATGTGGAAGTCCAGTGTCTTTAACCACCACACCACCTGCCAGCCTCCCCAGTAGGTTTTATTTGAGAGACAGGAGTAACAATATTTTTTCAGTTTTTAACTTTACTTGCCTTTCCTCAGTGGTGTGGTAGTCTGGTTCTTTAATTCCAGAGAAGAATACCATCATATTTGTGAAAACTTTTCTAAAGCTACTATTCTGAAAACTATTTACTGTTTGGCTAAGAAGTCCTCCTTGCTTCTCCGGAGGTGGACACATGCATTTCCCTGCAATTTCATAAGAAACCGAGATAGCCATTCAGCAGAGAAAAGGTGGGAGAGGTTTAGGCTGAAAGGAGGTGACTAGAAACTGATGCTATCCCCTTATCACGCTGGATCTGTCAGCCCTGCCTCAAGCTAATGGCAGCTCCACTTTCCAGCGGGCCTCTTGTCTTTTAAGTCCCTCACATTCCAGAAAAGTAAAGGAAAGCAAAATAAAGCAGGAACTCTTCTTTCGAGTTAGTGAGAGAGAGTACCTGTAGTACTTTCCCATTCCCCAAGGTGATGCGTTCCCTTTTCCTTTCTAATCTCAGAAGAAAGGGTGGGGTGCTCTATACAGAGGTCTTCAGTTCGTCTCCTAGTAAGGGTTCATTTGGGCCTCACTCCTCTCCCAAAGCTGTAACCTAGACAGGTAAAGAAATAAATGAAGGTTGGAGTTTCCCGCGGAGTGTCAACGAACCCCTAGATAGAGGCTGTTTCTGTCTGGACATCGCCCGCCAGCACCCTAACCATCTGCTTCTCCGTCTAGTGAGGACCCTTGGAGGGCTGCCAAAATGATCAAGGGCTACATGCAGCAGCACAACATCCCCCAGAGGGAGGTGGTCGACGTCACCGGCCTGAACCAGTCGCACCTCTCCCAGCATCTCAACAAGGGCACCCCTATGAAGACCCAGAAGCGTGCCGCCCTGTACACGTGGTACGTCAGAAAACAACGGGAGATCCTCCGACGTAAGTGTTTTAATCCCGTCTCTGCTTCAGTCCCGAGCGACCTCTGCTCTGACTCTGACCTGGGTGGCTGCCTCAGTTTCCCCTTTATCAGGAAGGCCTGTGTGAGCAATAGGTAACTGTCAGGAAGCTGGGTTTAGCCTCCCCGTTTGCTGTGCAGTGGCTGGGCATGTGTCGTTTCTTCTCTCACAGTGCCTCGCTACTCGGTTGCTGTGACAAGCCTCTCACTGTGTACAATGTACCTTGAACTGTTTGGCCCCTCTTTCCCAAATCCTTCTCTTTGAGACCAAGTAGGTAACTTCCCCAAAGTAAGCCAAGCATCCTCCTGATGCATGACCGCTGGTTAGAGTCGCCAAAGTAGATGGTTCGCACTTAGCAACCATTAATACTGATCACTATTGCTGTTCTCTTTCTCTTCTCTGGAGAGAGTATGAAAAATAGAGACCATTTGTGTGGAAGGGTAGATTCAGAGCCTGACCTTTGTATTTTAGGAGGGTAGTGGCTGGCACTGAGTCCTGAAGTGGTTTAAGATACGCACTCACATTTACCAAAATGAATAGCTTGAAGACCTGTGGTGATCCTGTCTCATGAAGACGCTACTCCGGGCTCAAGCAGGACACAGGGAAAGCAGTACGCATTTGCAACTCTGACCTGTCAATTCTTGTCATTCCCATTTCCACCCAGAGAGTTCTTTCTGGCCCAAGATTTCTTCCACTCAGTCGCAATGCGATTTTTATTTTAAAGAATAATAAATTTAAACTATATTTCAATGACAAGAATATGACTGACATGCTGTTTTTATTTTAGGAAAGTAGACTTTGATATTACACGTTGATATAGCCTTTTTCCTAGGAAAATGTATCCGTTTTTACTCTTCATATATGCTACCCTCTGAGGGCATAGACTTTTCTGTCTTTGTCCAGAGGTTAGTTTCAGGCCAGGCCCCCATAGCCTAGTGGTTTGAGGAGTCAGTTTCCACACGACTGACCAGTTAGAACTTTGGCCTCAGTAGCTTGGAAAACACACCTGGCACACGTGTGTGTATACCCCAAGTCCTAGCAAGATCGAGAGATGGAGGAGAAAGAATTACAGCATTATCATGCCCCACTGAGGCATGATAATTAATGGCAATTAAAGCAAAATTAATTTTCACCACTTTCCAGTTGGTTGTCTTCCTTTGACTGGATGGCGTTTTTTAAACGTCACTCTTATTTTCTGTTCCACACTGCTCCGAAGTGACGGCCGCAGTGTGTGTTGTCTCGGTGTCCGTGGACTGGAAGGGCCTTAGGATGGAAGGAAAGGCCTAGGCAGTCATCTCACATTGGGGTTGCTCGCTCAGCTGTTGGAAGCATTACCTGGATAGCTTAGAAGAAGCCAAAGTAAGAGCTGTTTGCTATGCAGAGGGGGAGGCCTCTTAAAGTACAGGTTAACCCACCCCCTGTGGTCACTAGCTCTTTAAGAATTTGTGTACCTGGCATGAAGCAACTCTTGTAGTTCCTGTGATGTCCAAGAACATTGTCGGAGCCACAGTCTCCAAAGGCTAGAGAACCCTTGAGATCCTGCCCAGTCTACACCCTATGGGACATCTCCAGTCTGAGCTAGTGTTCAATTTCTCTGTGTTGAATGAGAACTCCCTCAGAAAGGAGAGGAAGGCAGGAAAGGCCAACTGGAACCTTCTACAGAGACAGAATTCCCAGGAAGTGTCTCAAGATGCTAGACAAGGGAAGTTTTACAAAAACTTATGGCAGTCTCTGCAAGGAATTTTTTGTTGTCATTGTTATTTTTGTCTTAAAGTAACACCAGACATAAAGCTTAAGAAATATCTCTTCATTCTGTAAATAGTACCTGACCACTTATTATATGCCAAACATTATGCTAGGCTGTGGGACACAGACTCCGCAGAGACTTTTAATCCAGTGAGGGCGTTCAAATATTTGAGTAAATAATGATAGACGCTTTCTAAGAGCTGTTGTAAAGCTATACACAAGGGCAGCAGAGGAATTGCTAAATTGTCTAGAGACATCTTGGAGGGCTTCCTGGAAGAGGTGACATTTGAAACAGATCTTGAAGGATGACTATAAAACACACAAGCATAAGATAAATATTAGGAAGTGGGGCCAGTAAGTGGTATAATGATTAAGGCACTGGACTTCCACGTGGTCGACCACAGTTTCCGGTCCTAGACCCAGCAGCTTGAAACTCACACTGGGCACATGTGCATGTGTGCCCAAAATCCCAAGAGGAGAATTGGAGGAGAAGGGATTGCAGCATGGCCATCTACCAGGGGTCAATTTCTCACTTTCTAGTCTCTCTGTCCCTCCAACAAGTGCCCTATAGCAAAAACCTCTTAAAAAAAAAAAAAAAGATTAGGAAATAAGGTAAAATCAAAGAGGGATGCAAGTGAATGGGGTAGGTAAAGGAGAAAGAGTTGAGGGAAGAATAAAAAAATTATAAATTTTCTTGAAAAAAAAAAGGTAATAAATGATAATATTCATGGGCCCGTATACACACATAGACTCTCCTTATCCATGCTGGCTCCTGAGCCTATAAAAAGACTGCTGAAGCCAATGTTTCCGAGGTAATTTTTATGGGCAATGAGTATTTTCTGTCCTCTTCTCTCAATACTTATCTGAAAGGGAGTGAGGGGAGTTGATAGTGGCTGGAGGTCATGTATGAGTCTAGTTCTTCAGAAACTGAGAGGCTGGAGTCAAGTCTCTGAGGTCAGCAGAGCCTGCGTGCTTTGAGCACCCGCAGACAAATCCACCTGCCTGGTCCTGGCATGCCCTGGGTTCCGAATACTGCTCAGGCTGCTGCCTGTTTAGAGGCAGGTAAGAGACTGAGGGGCCCCCCCATGCTATGGGGGTTAAGTGTGTCTCAGGACAAAGCTTCAAGGTTGACCTCCTTCCCTCCATGTAAATCAGATTTGAGGGGTTTGTGAGTGTCCTGTTTGGGTTTTGTTTTTAACGAGAAGCAATACCTCAGCTGGGGGATAGGAACCTGAGAGTCTGGAGGCTCAGAGTTCACATCGTGGCTCCTGCCCCAAGTCCGTGTGACTTTGGACATGTCCGTTAACCAAGCTGAACCTTGCTTTTTCCTTCTGTAAAATGGAGCTAACGATACTTCCCACGTGGAGAAGTCATAAGAATTGTATGAAGGGATGCATTTAGAGGGCTTTGCATAATGCCTCCCCACAACATGGTTCAGTAAATGTTAACCGTTCTTACATCAGTTTAGTTCAAATGAAAAATCTGAGATCACCCCTAGGTGATTAGGGTAATTCATACTGCTTTTGGCTGCTACTCACAGTGACTCCGTAGCGAGGAGAGGAGACACAGGGAGAAACGGATGACCAGCTGAGCAGGGAGCTTCTCTCTGCCCCTGTGATCGTCCCTTGAGTAACTGATCAGAGAGCTGCCCTGAGACCACATAATACAGAGGTGTGAAGCTTTGGGAAGTGCGACCATCATAGGAATCTGGGCATCTTCGTATCTCGCCTAGGAGTAGATGTTCTAAAGGCTTTAGGGCACTCCCTCTTCACAGGAGGGAACTGTGATTGAGAAATTAAGCAGCTTGGCAGGGCCGCACATTACCCCATTGAGCCAGTGACTTCCTGCTAGTGAGTTTGCCAGAGGCTCTGTCAGGTCTCTAAAGACATTGTTAGGCAGCAGTCAAAACAACCCTAAGGTGGCCTGAAAATCATCCAACGAGGGTGAGACTCAAATCAAAGCTCTCAATGCCAAGTTCAGTTCATCCCCGAGGGAGATTGCTTGTAACGTGGCTAATCAGCAACTATTTAAACCATGCCCGGCACCATCTGCAGCTGGGCTCCTTCATCCAGTTGGGTAGGTGTCCTCTGCTTGCTTGTAGTGGACCAAAATGGAAATGGATTCTTCTCTAGGTGTTAAGTTCTGCTGGGGCTATACAGACGAGAGGACCACTCAGTAGGGTGTCATAGAGGGGATTAGAACATTAAATAAGGGCCTGACTTTTGAACCTTGAGGATTGGAGATCCAGTTGTCGCAAGAAACAGGATAACGTTTCCAAAGGATGGCATGTCCAGACTTCTGGGCTTATCTCAATGGCAGGAATGACTCCTGGATCTGAGAAGGAAAAATACCAAAGTCCAGAACATGGGGACCGGGAGCTAGGAAATGAATTTGTTATGTGTCCTAGCTCAGCAGGGCACTTGGCCTTCCTGTTTATTCATCTGTAAAATGGAACTAATCACCCCAGTGAACCTCGCTTCATGCAGCTGTGAGGGAGAGGACAACAAAACTCTCTTCTTCACTAAGTAAATATTATGTCTCATTGAAACCACCCAGGCTAAGGTAGCACCGCTGGGCCAAGCTGCCGTCTGTCTTTCATTCATTTAACAAACTGTATTGAGGGTCACCATATGCCTGATCCCAGGGAGTGGGACAGACAGGGAGCTCCGTTGTACCTACATTTATCTTTCTCCAACTCGTTAAGTGCCATTCCTAGGAAGGGCCTGTGTTTGCAGTCTTTTGCACTTGCCACCTTTCAGATTTGTGGGCAAATCTCTAAGACTTCCTTCATGGACCATCTCATAAACTGACCCCTGGACATGCACACACACGCACGCCATTGCCTTTCAAATTGTTTGAAATCTAAAGAGTATCTTGTCATGGCAATATAAAGCTTCAGTTATATTTATTTCCAACCATTATTCAAAAGATGTGAGATTCTTCTCAGAACCTAACACTACCCTGTAGATACCTAGGAAACGGGAGGAGGGAGGGAGTAAGGTTGTGGAGGACCACTGAGAGTCTCTGAATGCTTCGCCCGCGTGTAAGTTGTACCTTTGAGACCTGGTCGAGCTTATCCCCTTGACATCAAAATGCAACAGTTCAGGATTCAGAGTGTTGCTTCATGCCTGAGGGTCAGTGAGCCAAAGGGGAAAAAAAAATGATTTTTTTAAACAGGGGTTGACTATGTTTGTGCTCCTTCATAGAAAGGAGCCCTTGCTGGAGCGATCGAGGTGGGGAGTGAGGGTCTGCCATGAGGCCCAAACCCTAACCCCACGTGCAATTAGAGCAGATGGCAAAGCTTAGGGAAGAGGAATAAAGGTGTCTTTGTCTGTCTATCTGTCTGTCCGTCTGCCAAGCAAAGGCTACAGACCCTATCAAATCTACTCCTTTCTCTTTTCAGAATTCAACCAGACAGTCCAGAGTTCTGGAAATATGACAGACAAAAGCAGTCAGGATCAGCTGCTGTTTCTCTTTCCAGAGTTCAGTCAACAGAGCCAGGGGCCTGGGCAGTCCGATGATGCCTGCTCTGAGCCCACCAACAAGAAGATGCGTCGCAACCGGTTCAAATGGGGGCCCGCGTCCCAGCAAATCTTGTACCAGGCCTACGACCGGCAAAAGAACCCCAGCAAGGAAGAGAGGGAGGCCTTAGTGGAGGAGTGCAACAGGTAACGACACGAGAGGCTCGCGTGCAGGCAGGCAAGCTCATGGACCCGAGATCCATCCCCTTCGTCCTGGGATAACGAGACTCTGGTTATCCAGATAAGTGTGGCTAAACTAGGGTTCCCTAAACTGTGCTCTGCAAAACCCCCAACCTCAACGCATTTATAAATAAGTTTGGGAAACAACTTACAGATACTTCTTCTGTGGGAGTCACAGGATCCATTAATATAGGAAAGGCTTCTAGAAGTCCTGCGGTCAAGAAACCTACTCAGCTTCCTTGAATTGGTGCTTCACAATGGAATCTTTCTTCTGTGGAATACTTTCTGAAGCGCCCATGAATTATTGCTCTAGAATAATAATCTGGAAAATGCTGCCATTGATTATGCCAACAAGGTGAAACTCGTGTTTGGCCTCTTATAGGCCAGGGCCAAATTCTCCCTTACCCACAGACTCTATATACCTATTGGTCCCGAAGGGCACTTGCAGAGAGGAAGAATTGGTCAGAACTGTTTAGTCCCCTCTGCCCACACTAACTCACCAGAGTTCTTCTTGTAGCTTAATAATGGCACATCATTCTCTTAAAACCCATTAGAAATCCCTGGGCTATCTTTTTGTTTCATTCTTGCCCTGTCCTCCCTGACTCCAATACTGACTTTCTTTGTTTTTTGTTTTTTTGTTTTCTAACCTTTTAAGTTTATTTCTTTTTCCCATGAGATGGCCAGAGAGGGGGAGAGAAAAAGGGTGCTCAGTGACATGATCCATCCCCAGCCTCTGCCCGCCCTGATCACAGGCATGCCCCTGTGCCCTAAGCATGAACAGGCAGATCCCACGATGATAATTGGGAAGCTTCCTGTGTGGGTCTAGTAGTGTTACTGCTATGCCACCAGCTGGATCCTAATACTGACTTTCTAAAAATGTTGTGCTCTGCTCTGGCCAAGGCCTGCAGGTGGTTCCTCTGTCTCGTGACAAGGCTGGCTCTGGCAGTAGAAGGATGTGGCCAAGGAGGTCATGCCGGGAAGCAGGGAGGCAGGGCAATCAGCCTGTGGTCAGAGTTGTCAGTCTGTGTTCTGACCCCCTGCTAATGAGAAGCCTCTCACTCACACTTGGGTCGGGGGTTTCATCAGCATGGGTAAAACTGGATGCCAGGCTAGTCTACACCCAGCTGAGACCCTGTGCTGCACAGGCTGGGACTACATAGGAGGCCTGAACTCTGCGCCCGGTCCAATGTAAGGCTGGACAGTGATGTGCACTTGTGATCCTAGCCACTCAGGAAAGTTGTGGCAGGAAGATCCAAAACTCAAGGCTGGCCTAGGCAACAGAGCAAGACCCTCTCTGAAAGAGCCTGGAGTCCCCACTGGGAGGCTAAGGCAGGAGAATCATGACAGAGCAAGATCCTGTCTTAAAACAGACTTAAAAGCCAGTGACCAGCCATTACTGTGTGTCCTCCTTTACACTCCACTCTGCCTGCCCAGAGAAGATTTCTGGGTGTGAATAAGGAATTTGGCTTCTCTAGCCCCTTTTCAGGGTGTTGAGACACTGAAAGAGCAGAAATCTTGGAGTGCTTCACAGGGACTCGAGAGAGCCAGCCAATGTCTTTGCCCTCCATAAGGTAGAAAGAGTGGCAAAATAAGGCGCTGTCGGAAGGCCCAGTCTGGACGCACCCTGACCCACCTGTCCTGCTTGCTCTCCTCTCGTTAGGAGCCATGCCAGAGACCAAAGCCCGCCTTGACTTCCAGGGTAGCATGGCTTGCTCCATCCCTGCGTTCTGGCCCCACTCCAGCCATCTTTACGAGACTGGCCTTTTCTCAGGACAGGCTTTAACCCAGACTCCCACTGTACTCTCAGCCTCATTACATGCCTAACCAAGACCACCATGATTGTGTGCTTGGAGTCAAGCACTCGCAAGCATTTGGGCCACCCATGCTCACTGCCTTCCCTCTGTCCATTCCTAGGGCAGAATGTTTGCAGCGAGGTGTGTCCCCTTCCAAAGCCCATGGCCTGGGCTCCAACTTGGTCACTGAGGTCCGTGTCTACAACTGGTTTGCAAACCGCAGGAAGGAGGAGGCATTCCGGCAGAAGCTGGCCATGGATGCCTATAGCTCCAACCAGACGCACAGCCTGAACCCCCTGCTGTCCCACGGTTCCCCCCACCACCAGCCCAGCACCTCTCCTCCAAACAAGCTGTCAGGTAAGCAGGGCCCGGGCCTCACCACCTTGGTAACTGACCGTCCTTGGTCTCTCCATGGTCTCGTCTGGTTCAAGCGTTTTCAAAACAGTGAGTGTTTGGGGATGGTCTGAGGGATGGTGCATTGCCAGAATGTTCTCATGAACATAGCATGTGACTCTGATGAGTTTCTTCCAAGCCATTGCTCAGCCATGGCAGTGTGAGGAGTAGCTGCACCTCCAGGGAGCCTCTGGCCCGATTCTCTGGCCCTGTTCTCCCTGTGTGGCTGCTGACTTAGTGGGTCACTAGATTATACACTGGCCCCATTCCGGCCATCTTTATGAGACTGACCTTTTCTCAGGATAGGTTTAGTGCAGCCACCAGATTATACACTGAAAAGGCTGCTGCCGGGCCAAACTGTAGGCAGAAGGCTCTCAGTGGTGTATCCTCATTCATCGTGAAGGAGAACAGCACTCTGGCCACCTCCTCCATCCCTGGTCATGTCCTTCCCCAGCACTCAACTCCAGCAGGGGAGGCCCAGAGGCCTTTAGGGAAGGGCTACTCCACTGGCAACATCTGCTTGTTGGCTTCTGTGCTCCATCAGGGTTATTGTGGGGTCAGTGACTTGTAATCCTTGTAGTGATGAGTTGGCCAAAACCTGTGTGCCTACTGTGTGCTATTGTGTGCCAGGCCCCCTACCTGGATTAGAAGCCCTCTGCTGTGGGATTTGGTTTTGCCGAGAAGCAATCCCACATCCTTATTGTGGGAAAGCACTCCGGTATGCTGAGTGCTGTGTCGCGCATAGGCTGGGGCTGAGCACTTCTCGTCCTGGACTTTGGTTCTTCCAGGGAAGCTAGTTTCCCAGAATTGGTGTGCTTACAGGGTGCTCCTGTGGACAAAGCATGTCTTCTGTTGCCTGCTCCGAGGAAGGGCTTGCAAAAGAAAAGTCAAGCAATGTTTCTAACTCTTGGGTGATTCTGAAGCCTCCCCCTCCCTTCAGTGGCTTATTGCTCTTCTGATGGGAAAAGCCTGAGAACTGCAAGCTAACCTGAGTCTTGGGAGACCAGCACCACCAGGGCAGGCTCAGAGGCACCAGGCCAGGCCGTATACAAGCCTTTGTTCCATGCCTGCTGTAAGGGTCTCTGGGAGCCTGCTAGTGCCCAGCATGAAGCCTGGGCCAGGGCTGGAAGTTTCTCTGGGTCCTGCTTCCAGAGTAGGAAAGAGCTCAGCCACACAGAGAGAAAGTCTGGGTTACTCTCGAGAGACAGGCAAATATTGGCAAATATTGGCCTGACTGCAAAGTAACTTAGCCCCCTTTACAGAAATTCAACAACAGGGTTCAGAGGGCAGTGGTAAACACGTGTGGTTAGCACCGACCAGGACCAGAGCACTTGCCACTGCAGTGATCCACGGAGCTGAATCTGGGAGCTGTGGGGGGCGTGGCTGGGGCAAGGGACATTATGGAGAAGACAATGGCCATTGTGCTGGAACCTGTGATCTCCACACCAAAGTCAGGGAGCCTGCAAGCCACACAAAGGCCCAGCAGCTTTCTGACAAGCTGGGGTTGTGCCGAGGTCACCACGGGGTCGTTAGCTTAGGCATTCTGTATTCTGACAGGAGACACAGAGAGCTAGGGCCAGAGGAAGGAGAGCAGGTCCTGGAAACGGGGCAGGATGTGTGGGAAAGGCCACATAGGGACCCCTATGATCAGGGTCCAGGAAGAGCATGTTCCACGCAGAAGTGAATTCTCTGGGGTGCTCCAGGAACCTGGACCTTTTTTAAAAATCACAAGAATGTTCGAACTTGGAGGGACTTTGAAGAAAGAAGTAGAAGCCCAGAAAGAGGCACTGATAGGTCACAGAGCAGGGGTAGGACTAGAACTCAGGTTTGCTGCCTCCCATTCCATATTTTCCTGTACTGTGAACATGTATGTGCTGAGTACTTCCCGAGTCCCAGCAAGGTGTCGATGGTGAATGAGACCCACACCCTGACTCTTGGAGCTTACTGTCTAGTAGGGAAGATGCGGCTCTGCCCTGGGGTTGCCTTCCGCTGAGGATGAAGGTTATCTTCAGGGGTGTCATGGGTCTTTTACGGAG